TATTTAAAAAACAAAATTCCCCTCAGTCTTATTATCACAATGGAACACTCAATACCTCAGAAAAATTAGACCAAACATGAATTATTGTTATTATTTATTTAAATTACTCAATAAGTCCATCTTTATGTTAAAGGGTTAAAATGTACATAAATAAAACAATGAAATAATAAAATTGCCTCAATTATGACTCCCCTTTCTTGAGGCATAAAGGCAATTTAATAGAAAGTGGAAAATAATAAAGCCAAGCTATTAACATTTATATTCTATTTCCCTTCAGATTGTTGTCAGTATACGTACTTGCACATTACATATAGTTGATACTTACAATCTATCTAGAATTTTTATTTTTATGTTTTGTATCACCCATTTCCAACTAAAAGTTCTTCACTGACAAAATCCATATACTTGCCATTTTTATTATCCTACCATAGTATTAAATGGGTTAAGATTACATAAATCTCAACTCTAGCTGTGTGATCTTGGGCAGGTCTCCTAACCTCTCTGTGCTCCAGTTCCTTGATCTGTAGAATGGGGATAGTTTTCATTAATACCTACGTTAGAGGCTGTTATGAAGATTAAATTATTTATATATAAAGTGCTTCGAACAGGGTCTGGCACATCTTAAGTGCTATATAAATGTTGATTATTAGTATTGTTGTTATTAACATTTTTAATACATAAGCTTGTTTTTATGATAAGGAAGGCAAGAATATAGTATAGAGGGTGAAATTGAAGGCGGAGGGGTAAGCCTTGGAGAAGAATCAAGATGCTCTTTTTCTGACTCAGGATGAAAGGAGAGAAGGATGCCTAGAAAGGCAGATTTAGAGATGAAGAGAAGGTGAAAGAGGTCATGTCTGAATGTCCTCTATTTACTCTGTAAATTAGAGATCAAGTCATATTGTCAGAATGAGACAGTAGATTGGGGATGGGGTCTTGAAGCAGGGTGGGAAAGGACTGGAATAGACCTTGCGAGGATGAGAAAAAAGCAATGATGAACAGTGAAGACAGCCCAGCTGAGGTTGGAGACCCTAGCTATGAAACAGAGCCAGTCAGCAAGGCTTGGCCTCTTCCCTGACAGCCCTCAGCAATCCACCAAAAATGGAGACAATGGGTAGTGAGTTGAGGCAGGGGTGAGGAGAGGCTGAGGAGAGGCTGGGCAATTGCAGTGCACGATCAAGGAGGCAAGGGAATTGTGGTACCTATGAAACCATAACTAAAATTAAAAAAGAAACAAATGTAATGTGTATACCTCAGATATCAGCTGGGACCCCTTAGCCCTTCTTTGAGCTGGTTTCATAACTTACTGTGTATATATATACACATAATAGAATACCATCCTGCTATCAAAAGAATGAGGTAGATCTATGTATCTTGGAAAGATGTCTATGATATATTATTAAGGAAAAAGAGCTTGTTGCATAAGAAGTGAGCAGTATGATTCCATTTTTATATGAAAAAAAAGTCATAGAAAAATCCTGGAACAATATATAGCAAATGCTTAACAGTGATTACTTTTAGTGGGGATGGGGATGGATGGGGAGGTGAAAAAATGAAATTCACTTTTTATAACATATATGATTTAAAGGGAAAAGTATGTTGGGATTATGGATGATTTTTATATTATTTCTCATAATTTTCTCTATAGCTCAACTTTCCATAATATACATATGTTGCATTTGTAAACAAAATTAATGTTTAAAAATATGGAAAGCATTGATGCGTACAAAAGATCCCTACTTATTGTCTCTCAATAAGTGGTCTTTATGCATTTAGAAAAATAGAGTCATTACAAGGAATAATGTTCAGCCTTACCAGTGATTAAAATCATATTAAAACAAGCTTTGCACTACATACATTTATCAGACCAGCAAAAACAATGATAAATGTGATATAATTATATGTTAGTGGGAGTGGTGTGGAGATGGGGACAGCAATATTTGAACATTTTTTGGTAACTTTTTAAATTGTTTTTTTTCCCCCTGGAAAGCAACTGGTCAATGGTTACAGTGACAGCTATAACATTATTTATATTTTTGACCTGCATAATTCCACTTTTAGGAATATTTCCAAAGAAATAACACCCAAGGAAAATGAAACCAAACCAACCAAGAAACAACTTAAGTCTTCTCAAATACTTTAATACTTCCAAAAGTAACTTTCAGTAGAAGATCTAAACCAATTAATACTAAATTAGGAAACATACAAACTGAGCTTTAGATACTATAAATAACGTCATCTCTCACCAAAAATAAGTATGCCAAGAATCACAGGCAAAAGGACAAAGGTCATCTAGCCCTATTCCCTTGATTTTAAAGTAACAAAACCAACTCTCTAAGAGATTAAGTGACTTATTCAAGGTAACAGAGAAGGCTACTGACAATATTGAAACAAGAACTCAGGTCTCCAGATTCCCAATCCACAAAGTACCTAGAAGTCTATGAGGTAAAACGGGCTTTACAGAGTCTGAAGTAGACACAGTATCTTCCCTCAAAAGTACACACAGTATACAATATGATCCATAGGATATTATGAAACACTAAGCAATTAAAACAAAAAGACAATACAGATAATATTCATGTGCCTTTACTGACCAGACACCAATTTCTGAAAGTGTTGACTATAAAACACAAAATTGTGAAATTATCATTTATATGAGAGATTCCAAATATTTTGCCCATGAATATTACTGATTATAACAAATTTATCACACTTTAATTAACAAAAAGCAACATTAATCATTAAAAGAAAAGCAAATAAGTGCCAGAAAAGCAGTATAGCACACTCATTAAAAGCTAACCATTTGAATCCTCTCTCTTCCACTTACTAGCTATATAACCTAGAGGAATTACTCAACCTCTCCATGCTTCCATTTCATTTATAAAATGAGGATAGTAGTGTTTACTTCATAGAGGGGTTGTAAAGATTAGATAAGTTAATAAATTGTAAAGTACTTGGAACAGTGCCTGGCACAATAATTGCTCTTCTCTACTTATATATTATTCTTTTCCACTTACATAGCAACCAACTCTTGATGTTTATCTTATCTCTTCAAGTCTAGCCAACCTTCATATGACACTGGAATAAAATATAAGATTTCCTAAAAGACCCAGGTTTTGAGTCAAAAATTAAATAATGATAAAGACATGATAGAAAAGAATAGATACACATCCAAGGCATATGGTAAGTGGTCAGAAATCAGGAGAATTGAATCATGGAGAATGACAGGCTTTGTCTACCTTGAATTGGCAGGTGTGAGGTGAGAAGCGCCAATAGTTTTCAAAACCAGTCAAACCACAAACATTTTATTGACCACATCAGGTTGGCAATGCCCCATCACCACCACCATAACTATTGGCCACGAGCCCCTTTACACTTCCTAACCATTCCTACTTCTTTTACTTCTTCCCCATATCAACAGACTCAAGGAGAAAAAATCCCTCAGAAAATAAAAACAGAGTTCTCCTTGAAATATAATCCTCATTAAATTTCCAAGAAAAATAAACAAAAACAAATTATAAAGAGAAGCACAATGCATTTACTCCCTTTAGATCTGTTGCCTGACTCTCATTAGGCAGACCTAGGTATCCTTTAGGCTCTGAGTCAGTGCTGCTGTCCACGGCTGGCAAATGTAAGAGCAGTTCAGCTGGATGCAGTCATGAGGGGTGAAGACTCTCCAGCGGGATGGCTGCACACTCTTGCAGGGCTCTGAGGAGACTGGAATTCAGTCAGAATCACTTACCTGATGCTTACTCCCATGGAGCAGCATATAAAATGGAATCATGAGAGAAGAGAGTGACCAGGTTACAAGTGGCTAGACAGGAGGTGCCAATGCTGAGAGAACGGTGATACAAGTAGGGACAAAAAAGGGAAGATTTTCAAAGAGTCATAAGGAACTGTGGTAAGGTATGGCAACAATTTAGACACACTGGTTAAAACTCAATGAGGCTTGAAGATCACCCAAGATAACAGGATTTAGTAGAAGACAGAAAGTAGGTGGCACTGGCAATTATGACAGGATCAGCCCTGGGAGAGAGGATGTAGGGAGAATCACAAGTTCAGCCTTGTCATGTTTAACCTTAGGGAAAAGCCAAATATCCAGTTGGAAACATCCTGTGAGTAGCTGGAAAATCATATTATTATAGAGCATTTCTCATACATTCAGAATATCAACCAGCTCACGATTTAGTTGATTTAAGAGCCTTCTCTCATCAGCAATGATATGTCTTTAAATGGCAAGCAATTAAAACATGAAATAGGCTCAAGACGGATTTAGAATGTATTAAAATTAATGAGTAATAATATATTACGAATTCTGAGCAAAAAGTGGGAATATTTAAGCTATAAGTTAGTATATAAAAACGATTTTGTGGAGAACAACTGCCAAATTTTTCCACAAAAAAAAGAACATTTATGTCACCATCAGACACAGAATATTAGGCATGTGGATCATTATTCTGACTTCAGATAGTATTTCACAGGTTTATTATGCTACATAAATTAAGTATACTACTACTTTAAGTTCTATGAATCATATTTTTAGTTTGTATTCAAATTCTTACTGACAAATTCCCAGGTCGGTTTTCTTGCCGGATTTAAAAACAGTCATAAGAGTCAAAGGAAACTGGAAGCTTTTTTTAATACAATCATTGGCTACAATGAAACTTTAAATAAAAAAAGACTAGGGGCCGGCCCCGTGGCTTAGCGGTTAAGTGCACACTCTCTGCTGCTGGTGGCCCAGGTTCGGATCCCGGGCGCGCACCAATGTACCACTTCTCCAGCCATGCTGAGGCCGCGTCCCACATACAGCAACTAGAAGGATGTGCAACTATGACATACAACTATCTAGTGGGGCCTTGGGGAGAAAAAGGGGAAAAAAGGAGGAGGATTGGCAATAGATGTTAGCTCAGAGCCAGTCTTCCTCAGCAAAAAGAGGAGGATTGCATGGATGTTAGCTCAGGGCTGATCTTCCTCACAAAAAAAAGAAAGAAAGAAACCCTTACCACACTTTCCTTCATCTCTCTCAGCTTTTCATCTATCTCTCTCAGCCGATTTTGCTGATCCCGTTGCTCTTTGGTTTCCCGAAGTACCTTTTCTCCCGGAGTTATTTCCGTGTTTCTGTCGTCACTGTTAAGGTCAGGTTCCTAATTAAAAAAAGAAAACAAATTCACGCACAGGCTGAACAGGTACCATCACAGACCGCTCCAAAGCAACTGAGCCTTGAAGACTGGCTTTGCTTCTCCAACAATACTTTTGCTCTTCAAAATGATATTTATAATTCTCCAAACTCTTCCTATTTGAGGGGAAAAGGTCCAACTGTACATAAAACATGTAGGAAATAAGCTCAATCATCTGGAAAGCAAGAAATTAGGGTGAAAAGAACAGTGGCTGGAAGCAGGGACCTGGATGCTGGTCCCTGCTCTGAACTTGTCAGCTTGGAATCTTGGGCAAATCACACTTTCTCTGGACTTCAAGTTCATCATACACAAATAATAAGAAAAAACTCTGCCTATCCATGTTACCAGAGGCAGCTGTGTAATAGTGAGAAGAGAACTGGACTTGGCAAAGTCAGGAGTTTATAATCCTGGCTCCGTCTGATTCCAGACCAAGACAGCCTTGGGGAAATCAACTAACCTCTCTGAGCTGCAGTTTCATTATCTGCAAAATGATAATAATAATAGGACCTAGCCTAAATGTCATCACAGTACATAGTAGGCATGCAACAAATCTTAGTGCCTAACAAATGTGAGCTGATTATGTCCTCTGAAAAGAATAAGCAATGTATAATGAAAGTATTCCATTATTATCAGCAATATTTGAATTGACAGACCCATACCCTCCCAAAGTTAATCTTACTTCTAGGTGATATAAATGGGTATTTCTTGACAGTAAGTAGGTCCTATATCTATAACTAAACTCCCTTATCTTTTCTCCCACGGATCTCCTACTCTGTTTTGCCATGTAGGTGACTGGCAGAAATGACATTTTTCAAGTTGCTCAAGCCAGAATCCTCCCACATTCTCATTCCTTACAAGTAGCTGGTCATCAAGAATAGTCATTTTACTTTCTAATACCTCTTTAATCAAGGCCCATCTCTTTTGCTCACTGCCTCCTCATTATTCACTTCAAACAGCAGTTTTCAAACTCCAGTGTGCTTCAGACTCACCCACAGAGCCTGTGAAAATATTCAGAGGCCCAGACTCCACCCCAGAGATTCTGATTCAAGACAGGGACTGGGGACTGACAACCTGAAGCACAACTACTTGAGAATTTGAGAAGGATACACTTAAGCTACTGCTTGAGCCTCTTAACTGATCTTGGTGCCACCAGTCTCCCCATTCATTCCATCCTTTGCAGAGAAGCCACAGAGCAAGGAGCAGAGTCCTCACCCCTTCACGGCCTGGGCCCTGACTGTCTCTTCAGTCTCATCTCCCATTGTTTGGGTGTCAGACCCAAAGCCTCAGCAATATTGACTACTGCTAGTTCTCCACCACTCCATGCCTCTTCCCTCCAACTCCTCATGGAGACTCCTATTCTTTTTGAGCCCAGCAGAAACATATTTCCACTATAAAATATTCCCCAACATACCCAGGAAGGGCAATTATTCTCTTGGTCATTCCACATGTTCCCTCATTGCATTTACCACACTGTCACTGCCCAGACAGGGACCGCGACTGATCCCACTCTGTATCCTAACATAAACTATAATTCCAAAGCTGTATAAGCACTGGCCAATAGACTGTAATTTTGGTTCTCAGAATTCTGATCACACTAATGTTTCAAAGAAATTCATATAGTATAAAATTCTAATGAGGAGACTATTAAAAGAGTATATCAACTTCAAGTAGTGATTCTTTTACATTTTGTTTTCCCCATTTCTGGTAGCTCTCAATCTCTAGAAGCATCCAGAGGGTGAGTTATTATCAAGAATATTTTTAAGAAGGAAACCTAATGTTAGGGAAGAGTTTGGAATAGATAGTATCAAGGTCTCTTCATAGCTCTAAGCATTTAGCATTTCATGAACTTTTATGAAGATATACCTACTATGAAGTAGGATACACAGCTCCTTAGTCTGTTTGAGCTGCTATTACAGAATACCACAGATTGAGTGGCTTATAAACAACAGAAATGTATTTCTCACAGTTCTGGAGGCTGGGAAGTCCAAGATCAAGGCATTGGCAGATTTAGTGTCTGGTGAGGGCCTGCTTCCTAGTTCCTAGATGGTTATCTTCTTGCTGTGTCCTCAGACAGCAGAAGGAGCAAGGGAGCTCTTTGGGTCTCTTTTATAAGGGCACCAATCCCCTCATGACCTCCCAAAGGCCTCACCTCCAAATACCATCACAACGGGGATTAAATTTCAACATATAAATTTTGAGGGACACAAACATTCAGTCTATAGAACATAATGATCTGAAAAATATCCGAATTAGATTTCATTTTTAAATGGAAATCATTTTTTTCTTTTAAAAAAAAAAGGACATCATTTTAACAATCTACAACTATGATTTTTTTTTTTAATCTTTGGGGTAGGCAAAGAAAAGACACAGAAAGGAAAAAAATATTGTAAATCAGACTTCATCAGTATTTTTAAATTTTGCTTATCCAAAGCCACCATTAAAAAAATAGACAAGCCACAGACTGAGAGAAAAATATCATAACACACAAATCTGACAAAGGACGTGTATCCAATATATATAAGGCACTTACACAATTCAATAATAAAATAAACAAGAATAAATAATAAAAAAGACAATCCAGGTCTGAAGCGACATGAACAGATACTCCATGAAAGAAGACATGTGAATGACAAATAAGAAAATCTCCTCCACATCATTAAGTCATCAGGGAAATGCAAATTAAAATCACAATGAGATTTGACTACACAGCCACTAGAACAGCCTAGATGAAAAAGTTGGTTAACACAAAATGTTGGAGAGGTGTGGAACAAGCAGAACTCTCCTACATCACTGGTAGAAGTATATAATGGTACAACCACTTTGGAAAACTGGCAGTTTCTTAAAAAGTTAAACATTTGGGCCTGGCCCAGTCGCATAGCAATTAAGTTTGTGCATTCCACTTCTGCAGCCCGGGGTTCGCTGGTTTGGATCCTGGGCGCAGACCTACTCACCACTCATTAAGCCATGCTGAGGTGGCATCCCACATAGAAGAACTAGAAGGACCTAAAACTAGGACCTACAACCACGTACTGGGGCTTTGGGGAGAAAAAAGAAAAAAAAAAAGAGGAAGATTGGCAACAGATGTTAGCTCAGGGCCAATCTTCCTTAAAAAAAAAAAATAAAGGTAAACATTTATCTATCTGATGACTCAGCAATTCCATTCCTGTGAATCTATCCAAGAGAAACGAAAATGTATGACTCAAGCCTTGTACACGAATGTTCATAGCAGCTTTATGCACATAGCCAAATGTCCATCAACACGAGAATAATAAACTGTGGTGAAGGTGTGACCCAAGCTGGGACAATCAGACTCTTTCTCCTTTACCTCTGTCTTGTGATTAGGTTTAGTCAATGTGGGAGAAGGAGTATTAAGAGATTGGAGGGCAGGCGGAGACAGAGCTTGGGGTATTTTCCCCTTCCCTTCCCTGCTGTGGCATTATGGTTTTGGCAGTGATGTATCCCTGAAGCGCCCATCAGGAGGGTTTTCTTAGATTCAACTGAATATTCACAAAGACAAACAGAGGCCACACTTGGAGCCAGTCTACTCAGACGGATATAAGACAAGAAACACAGCAGGGCAGAGTCAGGTACCCCTCTTCAATGGGAGTTTTTGCTGCAGTCCATGTCATACCAGTACAGGTACAAGGGGTAAGGAAGCTACCCTGGCTTAAAAGCTTCATATCCCATAGGAGCATCATCTCTTGAAATGACCGCATAGGCACTGAGTCCAGGGTCCCAACAATGGACATGCTCAGCCACAAGAATCGCTGCACTTAGGCAAGCCCAAAGTATGGCTTCCCCATCAGGTTTATATAATTCTCCCAGTCCAGGGGCCAATTTCAGCATTAGCAAAGTTGCCTCCAAACATTGTTGACATTCCAACTTTCATCAGATTGCCAGGAAAACCATTAGGAAATTAACCACAGCTCAAATTCTCATGCTGAAGGGGGAAGGGTTGGCTAATCCTTTGTCCACACCCTCTATGATTACAACTTTGTGTGGCTGATTCTTCTACCACAGTTCTAACTATCCCCAAGCTCCAGTACACTCTTTCTTCCCCCTACCCACTGTTGCTAGTCCCTGGGTGTCACAAAACCTCTTACTGGCTTCTTTAAATCTATAAATAGTTCCTTCATTTAATTATCTTCAAAATCCAAGCTGAGTGTTTTTCCTGTTTCTTGCCCAGAACTCTAACTGGTATACTATGTATATATGAGTGTGTATATATGTATTTGTAGAGAAATAAACTGGAAAGAAATTAAATTTGATGGTAAAAATCTTGATTATTTAATCTCATTTTTCTTTGATGTTTTGTATTTCCTGAATTTTCTACAATAAACATGTATTAATTTCATAAGCAGAAAAAGTCATTTTTTATTTTTAAGAAAACAACAAGATTATTCTATCAAGGCTATTTTTGTTCTGCTCCAACAATGTGACTCTCTGTACCCAAAAGGTATTGGCCTGAAGATTAGGTTTTAGCCCCAGTTCTGCTGGTATAATCATCTGAGTACATCTGGGCAGGTCACTTTCTCTCCTGGGTCTCGATTCTTTCTGAGAAAGTTTCTTCCAACTCCAATGGCTTATGAGTCTGTAATTCTCTACAGTTAGACCCAAGGATATGTTAATATCTTTCCTCAATCATGGTCTCTGATAGCATAACCATATAGTTTAAATATTCGAAGGATAGCATGTGATGAAAGCAGAGGCCAAGAGGGAACAAGAAAGGTAGTCATTGATTCTGGCAAAAATTGCCCAGTGGCATTTTCAAGAAGCTCTGTGGTGCCAGGAGAGTTTGTCACATCAAAGTGCCAACCAATACTGTCTGTTTCCATGATCATCAGGAAATATCTCGATTTCCTAAGGTAGAAATGTTTGAGCAGATTCTTTGACCATCCATATGATTTCTGTGTTTCTGAGTCATACAGGAATCCTTTTATTCAGTAAAAGTAAAATTCAGTTCAATA